TGTTTCTCATAGCTGCTCAGTAGTGGGCGTGAACGCTAGGGACGGTACGGGTTTACGATGGCTTGTCAGTGGTAGGCGTGTCCGCTACAACGGTAAGGATTTTCTCATGGCTACTCAGTCGTGGGCGTTTCCGCTACAGACGGTAGGTGTTTCCGATGGTTTCTCAGTGATACGCGTGTCCGCTTGGGACGGTAGGTGTTTCCTATGGCTGCTCAGTTGTAGTCGTGTCCATTAGGGACGGTAGGGGTTTCCGATGGCTTCTCAGTGGTATGCATGTTCGCAAGGAGCGGTAGGGATTTCCGATGGCTTTTCAGTTGTAGGCATGTCCGATAAGGACGGTAGGTGTTTCCGATGTCTTCTCAGCGGTAGGCGTGTCCGTTACGGCGGTAAGGGTTCCTCATGGCTGCGGGCGGTCGGGTAGCCTAGTGGTTAAAGCATTCGCTCGTCACGCTGAAAACCCGGGTTTGATTCCCGACATGGGTACAATGTGTGAAGCCCATTTCTGGTGTACCCTGCCGTGATATTGCTTGAATATTGCTAAAAGCGGCGTTAAACCATACACACTCACTCACTCCTCACGGCTGCTCTGTGGTGGGCGTATCCGCTAGGGATGGTAGAGGGTTCCCGATGGCTTCTCTGTGTTAGTCATGTCCGATAGGGACCGTAGGGGATTCCGATGGCTTCTCAGTGGGAAGGCGTGTCCGCTATGGCAGTAAGAGTTTGCCATGGCTACTCAGTGGTAAGTGTGTCCGCTAGGCACGGTAAGGGTTTCTCATGGCTACTCAGTAGTAGGCGAGTCTGCCAGGGACAGTTTGGCTTTCCGATGGCTTCTCAGTGGTAGGCGTGTCCGCTACGGACGGTAGAGGTTTCAGGTGGCTTCTCAGTGGTAGGCGTGTCCACTGGGGACGGCAGGGGTTGCCGATGGCTTCTCAGTTGTAGGCGTGTCCATTAGGGACGGTAAGGGTTTCCCATGGCTTCTCAGTGGTATGCATGTCCGCTTGGGGCAGTAGGTGTTTCTGATGGCTTCTCAGTGGTAGGCGGGTCCGCTACAACGGTAAGGATTTTCTCATAGCTACTCAGTAGTGGGCATGTCCACTGCGGCGGTGAGGGTTTGTCATGGCTACTCAGTGGTAGTCGTGTCCGCTAGGCACGGTAAGGGTTTCTCATGGCTACTCAGTGGTGGGCGTTTCCGCTATGGACGGTAGGTGTTTCCGATGGCTTCTCAGTGGTAGGCGTGCCCGCTAGGGACGGTAGATGTTTCCGATGGCTTCTCAGTCTACATGTGTCTGCCTATGGCGGTAGGGGTTGCTCATGTCTTATCAGTGGTAGGCGTGTCCACTAGGGGCGGTAAGGGTTTGCGATGGCTTCTCAGTGGTAGGCATGTCCATTAGGGACGGTAGGGGTTTCAGATGGCTTCTCAGTGGTGGGCGTGTCCGATATAGACTGTAGGGTTTTCTCAATGCTTCTCAGTGGAAGGCTTGTCTGCTTGGGATGGTAGGTGTTTCCGATGTCTTTTCAGTCAACGTGTGTCCGCTATGGCTGTACGGGTTTCTCATTTCTTATCAGTGGTGACGCTGGTGACGGTAGGGGTTTCCGATGGCTTTTCAGTGGTAGGCGTGTCCGCTTTGGGGCAGTAGATGTTTCCGATGGCTTCTCAGTGGTAGGCGTGTCCACTGGGGACGGTAGGGGTTTCCGATGGCTTCTCAGTTGTAGGCGTGTCCATAAGGGACGGCAGGGGTTTCCCGTGGCTTCTCAGTGGTATGCATGTCCGCTAGGGGCGGTAGGGATTTCCGATGGCTGCTCAGTTGTAGGCGTGTCCGCTAGGGACGGTAGGTGTTTCCGATGGCTTCTCAGCGGTAGGCGTGTCCGTTACGGCGGTAAGGGCTTCCGGTGGCTTCTCAGTGGTAGGATGTGTCCGCTACGGCAGTAAGGGTTTCTCATGGCTCCTCAGTGGTGGGCGTATCCGCTAGGGACTGTAGGGGTTTCTGGTGGCCTCTGAGTGGTAGGCGTGTCTGCTACGGCAGTGAAGGTTTCTGATGGCTACTCAGTGGTGGGCGTGTCCGCTAGGAACGTTTGGGGTTTTCGAAGGTAGTCAGTCGTAGGCATGTACGCTAGGGACGATAGGGGTTTCCGGTGGCTTCTCAGTGGTAGGCGTGTCCGCTACGGCGGTAAGGGATTCTCACGGTGGGTTTTTCCGCAGGGCACCTTTGGGATTGCTGATGGCCACTCAATGGTCGGTGTGTCCTTTAGGGACAATATGGGTTTTTCGTGACTATTCAGTTGTGGGTGTGTCCGCTTGGGAATGTAGGGGTTTCTCATGGCTAATAAGTGGCGGTTTTTTCCGCAAGGCACTTTAGGGATTATTGATGGCCACTCAGTGGTTGGCGTTTCACCGGGGGTGTATGAGATTTCTCATGGCTGCTCAGTGGTGGGTGTGTCCGCTATTGACGATAGGAGTTCTCATGTCTACCCACGGGTGGGTGTGTCTACTAGGGACGGTTGGAGTTTCTCACTGTAATGATTAAAACTGTATCCTTGATTCAGAACCTGTATGAAATCCAGCCTGCGCTTCTCAGTGGTAGGCATTCAGCTACTCTACATTTCATGCCTACTCAGTGGTCGGTGTGTTCGCATCGGATGGTTGGGGTTTCTCATGGCTGCTCAGTTGTGAGCTTGTCTACAGGGGACGGCAGGGGTTTTCCGTGGTTACTCCACGTGTCCACTAGGGACAATGTGGATTTTTCATGGGTACTCAGTTGTGGGCATGTCCGCTAGGGACGTTATTTAATTAGGACATTCTCATGGCCAATCTGTTGTGGGCGTGTCCACTAGGGACGGGAGGGGTTTCTTATAGCTACTCAGTGGTGGGTGTGTCCGGTAGGGACGGTACGGGTTTCTCATGGCTACTCAGTAGTGGGAGTGTTCGCAAGGGGCGGTAGGGGTTTCTCATGGTTACTTAGTGGTGGGCGTGCCCGGTAGGGATGGTAGGGGTTTCTCATGGCTACTCAGTGGTGGGCATGTCCGCTAGGGACGGTAGGGGTTTTTCATGGCTACTCAGTGCTTGGTGTGTTCGCTAGGGACGGTAGGGGTTTCTCAAGGCTGGGCAGCTTTGGGCGTGTACGCTAGTGACGGTATGGGTTTGTCATGGCAACTCAGTGGTGGGCTTTTGCGCAAGGCACCTTAGGGATTGCTGATGGCCACTCAATGGTGGGTGTGTCTTTTAGGGACAATATGGGTTTTTCGTGAGTTTTCAGTGGTAGGTGTGTCCGGTGAGGAGAGAAGGGGTTTATCACGGCTACTCAGTTGTGGGCGTGTCCACTAGGGACGGTAGGGGTTTTATCATGGCTAATAAGTGGCGGCTTTTCCGCAAGGCACTTGAGGGATTGCTGATGGCTACTCAGTGGTGGGTGTGTCCGCTAGGTAGGGAAGGGGTTTATCAAGGCTACTCAGTTGTGGGCGTGTCATCTAGGGACGGTAGGGGTTTCCAAAGGCTACTCTGTGGTGGGCGTGTCCGTCAGGGACGGTAGGGGTTTCTCATGGCCTTTCAGTTGTGGGCGTGTTGTCTGGGGGCGGTAGGGGTTTTTCAAAGCTTCTAAGTTGAAAAGTTTGAAGAATGATTTTGGATGAAACGTAAAATCTCTGCCCCGTGTCTTTTAATATCAAATATTTCAACACTCGTTGATGAAAGAGGAAACCCGTGGTGAAATATTGGATATAAAAAACAACACCCGGGTGAGATTCTCTATTTCTCAGAATGTGTCCTTATGGGCTATTGACACTTCAGGGATGTACCCTCTATTCATATGACCATTCTGAAATCTTTCCTGCTGGGATTTGAATGCCATCTAAACGTGATTGTTACGCAATCTGGTGGACGACCTTTGGGGATTTTATTGCAACAAATTTTCACAGTTTTCTTTGTTCAGTTAGAGTCCTACAACACCAAAGTTTTCAAGGACATTGATCAGGTTACCCACGATTATCATGTCATTAATGCTTGTGTCCATGCCTAGTTGTGTTTCATCTAATGAAATATCCTGTGGTAACCTCTGGATCGATGCTGAACAATGGGCCTGCTGAAGGGTGACAGCGAATGGGTTTGAGAGTTTGGTTAACTCAGGATGTTGGTGGTCCAGCTTCAGCCGCCAATATCTTTGATGGATAATCCACTTTACTGCAGACTTGCTGTTGCAAACGTTGATGTTTCTTCACCTGTTGGTAGATTGAAGAGAATAGTCTTATTTAGATTCTTGGGGTCCAGGTGAATAGTTTTTCCCTCTCATGTGAACGACCACCAGTTGCATGACCGACTTCGTTAGATCTTTGATTTCAAAGCCTTCATGTGATTGAATTATTTCTCAAGTGGATATCTTACTGAGTAGGGGATTTGCTTCATGGTTCTACAACTGGCGTAACGCTTTCCTTCCGTGTGATGTGGAGGCATCCAAGCCCACAAAACACTTCCGTATTTAGGTCGAAAATCTCGTCACTTCATATTGCCTCTTGACAAGAGCTAGTCTCTCGAGGTCTTGTAACCAACAAACTGCTTGTTATTCTTCACAGTTATGACGAAAATGGAGGAGTATGTCCGGCCCTAGTTCTACTTCAGCATGGCCTTGTTCCTGGACCTTGTTGCTTCTGTAAGATGTCACTTTGATGCTGGAATACAGCAGCTCTTTGCCATTGTACTCATGATGTTTATGTTTGCACCGGGATCCAGTTTGGTTGAAATGTCCTGAATTTTTAATTCGCACTTTTAGAAGTTGGTTAGCGAAAGCAAGATACTTTATGGATGACAAGTTCTTTGTTCTTTTAAGATATGACGATTTGGTACGCTTGACAATCGTATAAGGATCTGTACCGAATCATCGCATCATATTAGAATAGAGAAGTCATCGATACAATATCTTGTTTAAACCAATACTAAGAGTATATGTATCATTTTACAGTGTAACTTTGTTACTGTTCTAGATGTATTACACATGCTTTCCCTGATACAGATTGATGAAAGCAAGTTCCTGGAGACGAAGACCTGTCCCTCGTCCATAGTGGCTGAGTGTAACAAAGCTAAATCAGCCTTCAATATCGACTGGCGCACCACATCCTGGTCAGACCTGAGGAAGCCTCTGTACTCCGGGCTGGCAGCGGCTCTCTACATAAAGAAGTATCAAAGCGGCAGCCCTCCCGGTGACGTCACCAGTCAAGCCTCGTTCTGGGCCTCAAAGCTGAGACTGAGTGGCAGCCATTCTGGATTCGTTACTAAAGCCAGAGCAATGAAAGGAATTGGTATGCTGTTAACTTATTATATGGTTTTATTAAATTCGACATGGAGGACTCCGTTCCGCAAAGCTTCCGTAGCACTAAGGTGATCACAACTCTCATACTTTAACATAGACTTTCAACATTCGTAGCTAAGATTACTTTTTGGAACAGGCCCCAGATGTTTACAGACTAAACATGAAGAACATTTCATCAATACTTTTGTGTTTCACCAGATTGCAAGACTCAGCTTGACCTTGCATTCATCCTGGACGGTTCTGGGAGCGTATCCACAAGTGACTTTAATCACATGATCAAGTTCGTGAAAAATGTGACGAAAAAACTAGACATATCGAAAGATGAGGTAAAAGTGTCTACTGTGGAATATGGATCCTCAGTTGGGGATGACATTGAATTCCGAGACTTTGCATCCGAAAGCAGCCTGGTGTCTGCCATAGGTAAAATCAGAAAGAGTGGTGGTGGCACCAACACAGCTGCAGCCATCCTCCACACTGTCAACGTCCTGTTCAGACCGGCAGCAGGTGCGCGGCCAAATGCCAAGCGCGTAGCGATCCTTATGACTGACGGCCATTCAAACGATAAAAAGTTAACAATCAACGCTGCTAAAAAGGCTAAAGGTGCAGGTATTACCATGATATCTGTCGGTATAGGAAACGCTGATGAGGCTGAGTTGAGGGGCGTGGCCACAGATCCTTACTGTACCCACGTGATCATGCTCAACAGCTTCAGGGAGATTGACAGTCTCCTGTACCAACTGAAGGAAAGTTCCTGTGGAGGTAGGTAGTTGTTTAAAAACAAAATTGGAGGATTAGGAACAGTGTATTAACAAAATCTAACAAAAGCTATAACTATGCTAGCGATAAGCCAATATTCCAAAAGTTATGAGGGGAAAGTGCGCCTGACAGCATGATTCCCTTTTGTTCATATTGTGAAACGACAGACCTAATACATTGCAAACACTCAATGTTTAATAGTCATTGGTTTCCTTAGCCCTGACTGCAGTGGAGGTGAACACGACCATCAACACAACACTACCTGTGAACCAGACTGTGGAGGACGCATTTGAATTTAAGGACGATAACACCACAACACCCGACTCAGGCAAAGAAAAAGCAGTGGTAAGTAGCAGTGACTCTGGACCGTTCCCGTACAGATTGTACAATTAGAAATCAGCCGGTAGTCGGTTCTTCAATGCCTAATCTGATGCCGGCGTCAGTGCGTACACTCTATCATCCTTCACTACTCTGCTGTGTAATTCCGAAGAATGTAAACTTTCAGACCGATAATCAAATGTGGTCGTTTATCAGGAGATTCAAAACTCTTTCTAAACCCAAGGCTGTGGTCAATGTTGTGAACGATGTGAAGTGGCAGCAATGACATCAGCGATGATTAGCACCCTCATCGCTTGAGTCGTTGGTTAAGGGACTACACCAAAGTGGCCCAGTGTATTGACGGGTGATGGGAATTATTGTCTACAAACACATCAAGTGTTGACGATGATTTCATAGTTAAGTTTGATAGTCCTGTTCTTCAGTATCTGTCTTGTTCATGGTCTATTCTGCAAACTGTCAGTACCGTTTCGTTCTCCTGGGTTAATGACACCTTCATAATCTATGTTTACTAGTGCCCCTAGTAACTCACCCTTATTGTTACTACACAGGTTGGCGAGGTGGTGTGTGGCACTCTCAAAATGTACGCTTCCTACACCATTCGTCGTCCAGGCCCCGCCTACTATGACGTCAAAGAGACTGCAAGTGATAACAAACCTGGCGTCATCTTCTTTAACAAGACGATGAAGGGGAGACAACTGTACGTTACTGTCATTGGAACTCGGCTGTCGGTATTAGTTGCCCAGTTGGCTTCGTGTGTCAACGCCAGTTTCAGCGTGCGGATTTCCCAGCAACCAACAAGTGGGTCACCTTCAGCGTTAGACAAGGACACTAGTCCGTTAGTCTCGGACGAAAGGGACAAGATCTTATCCACCAAAATCTAGATATTTTACATAAAACTTTAGTCCGAAATGAAGAACAGGATATTTGGATTTTACAAACGTTATCAGCTCCTGAGTTGCGGAAGTAACCTGATTTGACACATGGAATAAGATATTTTGTTAAAGACACAATCGCTTCTACCAACGTTGTAGGCATTCTGCATTGTTTGCCAGAGGGATTAGTGTCTTAATGTCTTTATAGACTTCGTCGGGCAGTTAATGGTCTTCTGCAAATGACAATACCCTGAAATATAGAGTTACCTTTATAGCAATATTTCTCTACATTCTTTGTCTCAACAGAGGCTGAGGTAATCTGTAAGGAAGGCGAGAAGGAAAGGCCGTGCTCCAAGAAGGACTTGGAGGACAACGGATACAACTGTGATGGTGCGTTTTTATTAAATTTTGGATGTTTACACAAATCATCTAACGTTTAGCAGGTGGTACATATGACTCATATTTTTCTTCATAGATAAGGCAATCAGTTCATGCCGTATTTGCTCATAATTATTATGTTGATTCTTATGACTTTGTTTCATCTCCCATTTGAGTGATATATCTTCAAATAACTCGGTATATAACTCAGTATATAACTCAGTATATAACTCAGTATACAACTCAATATATAACTCAGTATATAAATAAGTACATAACTCAGTACATAACTCAGTACATAACTCAATATATAACTCAGTATATAACTCAATAGATCACTCAGTATATAACTTAGTATATAACTCAGTGTATAACTCAATATATAACTCAGTATATAACTCAGTAAATAACTCAGTATATAACTCAGAATATAACTCAATATATCACACAGTATATAACTCAGTATATAACTCAGTGTATAACTCAATATAAAACTCAGTATATAACTCAGTGTAGAACTCAGTGTAGAACTCAATATATAACCCAATATATAACTCAGTATATAACTCAGTATATAACTGAATATATAACTCAGTATATAACTCAGTATATAACTCAATATATAACTCAGTATATAACGCAGTGTGTAACTCAATCACATGACATTGTTAATGATACTTCTTGTCTGTGTAGGAGGGATATTTACAAGAGTTTATGTGTTTCAGATACATTCTACAATGTTACCAACCCTTGTTCATCACATGACATTGTTAATGATACTTCTTGTCTGTGTAGAAGGGGTATTTACAAGAGTTTATGTGTTTCAGATACATTCTACAATGTTACCAACCTTTGTTCATCACATGACATCGTTAATGATACTTCTTGTCTGTGTAGAAGGGGTATTTACAAGAGTTTATGTGTTTCAGATACATTCTACAATGTTACCAACCCTTGTTCTCCTGGCAACGCCTGTGACCACGCCCACACCTCTGACTCCACCAAGTTCATCCGGTGCGACCTCAAGGGCAACATGTACGTCACCCAATGTCCCGGCAAAGCCCACTACAACCCTGACACAATCAGCTGTGGGTCGGAACCAGTCAAGGGAGGGATCTCCTGCAATGTCACCAATCCATGCACTCCTGCAAATATTGCCAAGCATCGATTCCACTTCCCCTACCCGCCAAACACGTCCAGGTACATCCAGTGTGATGCATTTGGGAAACTGTGGATGAGGGATTGTCCCAGCGGCACAGTGTGGAATGACGCCAGGAGATCGTGTACTGGCCAATCTGGCGTGAAACCATCCGCCCTCGGAACCTCCACCCCCTCCATCTCCCAAGTCACCCCTGTCTCTATCGGCTGCAACGGCAACAACAACGGCGCACTGCTCCCCCACGCTGACCCAACTAAGTACATCCTCTGCAACCACGGTACGGAGGTGGTGATGTCCTGTCCTCCGTCACTCAAGTTTGACGTCAGCATCAAGCGCTGCAACTATGAATAGCGGTCGCACTGTACCGGCACATGTCACGTACTGAACGGAATAAAATGACAGTGGCAACCAGTGCATTGTTGTGTATGTCCCATAGAGTTATTTCCCCTTGTCTGTCATTGCTTCTACAGTTTCATTCCCGTATCAGTTTAACGGAGTTTTAAGTTAAATAAACGGAATGGACAAAGAGTGAGTGAGTGAGTGAGTGAGTGAGTGAGTGAGTGAGGTTTTACACCGCTTTTAGCAATGATGCAGCAATACCATGGCGGGGGACACCAGAAGTGGGCTTCACACGTTGTACCCATGCGAGGAATCGAACCCGGGTCTCGGCTTGACAAGCGAACGCATTAACCACTGGGCCACCCGACCGCCTCTTGCTACTTCACAACCTATATGTGAATCTGTTTCAACTAACGGAAACTTGAAACTAGAAACTAATTTAGAACAATAAATGGGCCCCACTTCCTGGATCACATCTATTTTGCAACATATCTCACTTGCAGCAAATAGGCAGGTATACACAAGCATATTAATGTGCATGGGTTTTGATATAGTACCGGTATCGGCAAGGACTACAAAAAGACTGAGATGCACACTCTCGCGGAAAAGAAACTACACAAAGTAAAATATGGCGAACATTGAAAGAAGAGACAAGACAGTATTGCTAAATGCATAATTTTGCGTCAACATACCACCACACCACCACAACACAATACAACATTATTATCATACCACCATACCACCACACCACCACACCACCACACGACCTCACCATCTCACCACCACACCACAATACAACATTATTATCATTCCACCACACCACAATACAACATTATTATCATTCCACCACACCACAATACAACATTATTATCATTCCACCACACCACAATACAACATTATTATCATTCCACCACACTACAATACAACATTACTATCATTCCACCACACCACAATACAACATTATTATCATTCCACCACACCACAATACAACATTATTATCATTCCACCACAACACAATACAACATTATTATTCCACCACACCACAATACAACATTATTATCATTCCAACATAAGCATAAGGATGGTGTAGGTTGTCCGTTATTCGATCATACCACCACACCACAATACAACATTACTATCATTCCAACACACCACAATACAACATTATTATCATTCCAACACACCACAATACAACATTATTATTCCACCACACCGCAATATAACATTATTATCATTCCAACATAAGCATAAGGATGGTGCAGGTTGTCCGTTATTCGATCATACCACCACACCACCACACCACCACACCAGAATACTAATACCACCACACCACACCACAATACAACATTACTACCACACCACCACACCACAATACATAAGCATGGTGGAGGTTGTCCGTATTCGATCAAGCAATTAGCTGACGGCCCTCCTCAATCTGTGACGTCCCTGGTGAGGTGTCAAGGCCATTCCGGAGTGGGTCTGGAGGCACAGTCTCCAACACACCACAACACCACAACACCAACACCAACACACCGACACATCACAAAGCAACATTATTGTCATACCACCACACCACAACACCACCAAACCACAATACAACATTATTATCATTCCAACACACCACAATACTATGTTACCACATTACCACAACACAGCAATACCACCACGGAAGCGTGTATGACGTGTTTACCCTATAACAAGGTCACGTGCAGTGAGACAACAGATACTTGATGTGTCGAACAGGGCCGGCCCAGAATACATCGTCGTCACAAGTAATGTTTCAGATGCATTCTAAATCAAGGAAAGCAAACTGCAGATGATGTTTGTGTGACACAATGATAGACTTCCTAAGTTTGTTTACACATCTTAAGAAGTAGTATAAATGTGTTTTAGAAGTCTCGTTTCTTCTACCAAGTACATGTATCAAGTTGTGGCTGGTATCTGATATATGAACAGAAGGGGGAATACACGTATGTCTTATCATACAGCTTACAGATAAATAAAACATGTATTTCATCCTGATCATTACACCTTGATTCACATTAAATAGAAAACCTTTCTTTATGGGATGCAGATCTTCCAGGATCTTCGTGCACACCAACATGACTGGATTCAGATCTTCGAGGATCTCCGTGCAAACCAACATTACTGAATTCAGATCTTCCAGTATCTTCGTGCAAACCGACATTACTTCATGAATACCCAACGCTCAGTTACCATTCATTTTTCATCTTTATCAACTCTTTGTTATACTTTTCTGAGTTTTTCATGTGCTATAGATATAGCTGTATGCATGCTTTTGGACAATGTTACACTCAACTCCCGCTCTCGCTCATATCCATCCATGTTCCCTAACTATACTGTACCTACGGGATATTCTCATTCATTCATTCATTGTGAGCACCTTGCTAGCATATCATCTCAAAACATGACTAAGATAAAGATAACATCTCTAAATTGTAGAGGTTTGAATAATAGGAAAACAAGGAGGGAAATGTTTAGATTCTTGAAAAAGAAGCGCTCATCTATATACTGCTTAAAATATGTTCACTCTACTGAAGATATGGAAAAGTTAGTAACGGAAGACTGGGGCTGTAAACACCGCTTCTACAGTTCCTATAGCAGTAATTCAACTGGTGCTGCTATCCTATTTGCTAAAAATATAGACTTTGCTCTTGATAATGTTGTAAAAGATAATGATGGTAATAGTTTAATCGTCGAAATCACAATCGATAAATATAAGTTAGCTATCATCAACCTTTATGGTCCGAATGTTGACGACCCTACCTTTTACAACGATCTTGAAACAGCGATAAAATCACTAAATAGCGATCATATAATTATCTGTGGAGATTGGAATGTAGTTCAAGATTATTACTTTGACACCTTCAATTATAAACACAAAAATAATCCAAAAGCGAAAGGATTCTGGAAATTTTATAACTCGCTTCTCAGGGACAAAGACTATGTAGCTATTGTCAAAAAAACAATATCGGAAAAAAAATTAACAATACAAGAACTATGACTCTACTGACAGAGACTTTACCATAGACGACCAGATGTTTTTCGAAATTATTTTCTTGCAGATAAGGGGCGAGACTATTAAATATTCATCTTACAAAAAAAACAAACGAGAAAGAGATGAAATTGAACTCATATCTAAGATTAATCAGTTAACCGAGGACATGGATGCAACGAACGACACTGAAGCCTAATCTAAGATACTAAAGGAAATTGATACGATAAATGAAAAATTAAAATATAATTATAAGATCAAAACGCAAGGGCTTATGATAAGGGCAAAAGTAAACACAGTCGAAAAAGGGGAAAAAACAACCAAATATTTCTTATCAATAGAGTCTAGAAATTTCCTAAATAAATCTTTCTCTTGTCTTCAAAACGAGTATGGAGATGTTTTAACAAATCAACAGGAAATTCAAGAAGAAATTAGAAAATTCTGTTCCAACTTCTATCATAAGAAAAATGATGTTAGTAATGTTAATCTTGAAAAAATTATTGAAAAATTGTAATGTGCCTAAGCTGGATAAAAACTTATCATCATCACTAGAAGGCAAACTTGACTATGAAGAACTACTTGCAACACTGAAGTGTTTGAAAAATGATAATAGCCCCTGTTCCGATGGCTTTACTGCTGAATTTCTTAAATCCTTTTGGTCAGATATCAACAAAATTTTAATCCGATCTATAAATCAATCATATGATAAAGTTGAATTGTCCATAACTCTAAAAAGGGGACTTATTACTAGCATTCCAAAAGGTAACAAACCAAAAATGTTTTTAAAAAAATGGAGACCTATCTCACTTTTATCAGTTTTTTACAAATTTACAAAATAGCTTCCCTTGCTATCTCCAAAAGAATTAAATCTGTGCTCCATATATTAATTAGCGACAACCAAAAAGACTTTATGTCTGGTAGGTACATCGGGGGCGAGATAACGAGATTATTTATGACCTTATGGAATACACAGAATCACACCAAATTCCTTGGACTACTTCTACTTATCGACTTTAAAAAGGCATTCGATACCGTTGACTGGTCCTTCATAGATAAGACACTAGCTTTTTTCAATTTTGGACGATCAATACGTTCGTGGTTCATGACATTATAAAACGGGATAGAACCCAGTGTACTTGTAAATGGTTATGGTTCGCCTATGTTTGATATACAAAGGGGATGTCGTCAGGGTGATCCACTCTCTCCATACATATTTATTGTCTGTGCAGAGATTCTTGCCGTAATGATAAAAATATATTTATATATATATATCAAATGGGTAACAATAGACATTGTAGAATTTCTAATCAATCAGTTTGCAGACGATACAACATGTATTTTAGATGGTTCCCAACAATGTCTCTTTGCTGTGTTTAATGTATTAAACGTCTTTGCCAGATTTTCAGGTCTAAAAGTTAACATTGACAAAACGCGTCTCATATGGATTGGATAAAAAAAAACGCTCAAAAATGAAATTATGCCCCCAACTTAATCTCAATTGGGACCAAAGTGACTTTGACCTTATAGGACTTACATTTACCCAGGATCTTGATGATATGACAGTAACAAATTATAAAGAAAAGATTAGAATATGTGAACGGTTAATGTATATTTGGTCAGCCCGCAACCTTACTCCCCTTGGCAGAAACACGATTTTAAAATTGTTAATTATTCCTAGGCTACATTACTTATTCAGCTCACTACCAAATCCAAACACTGATGTTGTTCATGCGTTTCGAAGAAATTGTTTTAAGTTTATCTGGAAGAATAAGCCTGGCAAAATTAAGAGAAACCAAATCATTTGTGAAAAAAAGGATGGAGGGTTCAATGTCCCTAACATTAAAGCAACAATCCAGGCTAAAAAAATATCAATGATAAGACGCTTTCTTACTTCGAAATCCAAGTGGAGTTATCTATTTAATCTTAATCTTCCCAAGTTACCGGCAGGTGCAGGCATTATATTAGAAAAAAACTGTAACAATTTAAGAAATAAACTACTACCACTTACCCCAGACAATTACTACAAAGATATTTTGACTGCCTGGTGGGATTTAAACGCTTAACTGGAACATGACACAAATCATTT